ATTATAGAAGATAATGAAAGCCAGGAAAAAGAAGAGGGAGAATGGCAAGGATCTGATGAAGAGCGAGAAGAAGACGAAGATGAAGATTATAGTGATGAAGATAGTGACAAACCAGTAAAAGAAGTCCAAGGACCTAAAGGCAGTGTAATAAAAGTAGTTCAGCATAAACCTCGTGTTGCTTCTACAGTATGGGCGAGACTTAACAATGTAAAAAGCGAAGTTATTGATAAATCTATCAAAAATAGGTAAGAATTTAAAAATATAAATATTTTGTTTGTATGTATAATATTTAAAAATAACATATCAATTTTGAAGGCAATCAAGAATACGAGATCTCAGAAATACATTAAAAGGTGATCTTCGATCTCGAATCGGAAATCATACAAGAGGTCGTTCTCCTTTAAGGATAGAAGTGAAAAATGATAAATATACAGAAGGAAGTGAAACAGAATAATTATCGATTAGTCAAACAAATTTTCATAAAAAATGTGAAATGTGGTTGTGGTGTTCTGTTTCAGTGAAAAAGAATGGTATGGTGCAAATTTCCTAATTGATGTATAAAAAATAGAAAATGCACTCATTATACCGAATTTATTACTTCGTTTAATTGTATACTTTTATGTAAATTAAGATGTTCTAAAATCGCATGAAATCAAATTTTAATCATGAACATATTTATTTATATTAATAAAATATATATGAGAAGAAATTTTGTTGATATACAGACTTGAATCATAGAATATTAAATTTGAAATATCGTATTTTTAATTTTAATTGACTAAATATTTAATATTGATACACTTTTGACTGTGTAAGAATTAAAAGTTTTGTGTTTAAGCAAGAATTATTTTGAAAGAATATGTACTGGATACATATTTATCAATATAATTTTCCATAATTTTTTTTATTATATAATCCAATTATAAATGAATTATATATTGATCTTTTAATAATGATTAACGATGCTATTAATATACATATTGTACACATAATATATTCTAAATATATTCCTATTCTTAAAATGAAATAAAATACAAATAAACGGGTAATGAGTGCTTCGTGGATTGTATATAAATATTATCTAGTATAGATAATAACAAAAACAATTTTTCATTAACATATTGTATACTGAGAAATAGAATGTATTTTTAAATATTCGTTTGTATATTTGAAACTTTCACTAAGAATTGAATGTTTTGTAATTATAATTCGAAAAAAAATATTTTCGGATACTATTTAATTAATAGAGAGATAAATTTATACTTTATCATACAAAAAAATTCTACAAACGAATATTTAATCAATTGTACATCGAAACAATATAGTTTTATAGTTTTTTTCTCTTAAAAAATTTAATGGTTATATCAGTTTTAAATCAATAAAAAAAATAAAGAAAAATACTCAACTCGGTTGTAAATAAAAATTGTATAAGACTAATTTCCGTATATGTGAAGCATTTAAAATATTTTTCTTGCGTTTATTATGATTAATGAAATATTTTGACATCTGTGATTTCTTAAACATGTATAAAAAATTAAAAAAAAAGGAATTAATATGTAATTTCATAAAATTCTTTTTAATTTTAACTAATAATAATGAAGTATTGTAAAATTTGTAATTTTTTGACAAGTATATTAAAACATACATAAAAACAAAAGAAAGAAAGAAAAAAAGAAAAAGTAAATCAATATCTATTTGAATTTAAAAAAATAGGGATATGAATAATTATAACATCGATTCCGAATAATTGACCAATAAAGCCGCATTTATATTAGCACAATAATATTTTGAATAGTCATTTTAAATACAATAATCGATAATTATGATTTCAGTACATATATATGTATAATATATATATATATATATATATATATATATGTATATATATATATATATATATTATCATTACAACAAATAACAATTATTCGGAGAAATAATTCGGCTGAATTCGAAAAAGATAAATAAAAAAAAAAAAAAGATTTATCGTTTGAAGAACACAGTGGATTATCGGAATATTCTTTTAGCTGCATTCATAAGTTTCTATCTGTTACTTTGATTCTCTACGTTAATTTAATTTCATTTTGTATTGTAAATATTTTAAATGATAAAAAATCTATTGTAGTTTATTAAAAAAAATATATTAAAGAATAAGAAAGTATTATTTTTAATTCGAGCATAAGATACTGAAATGATAGATTCTATAAATGCAGCTTGGAGGCACGAGGTAATTTAATGCATTAACAAACGAGATGTGATATTTTTGATACTATTAAATTACATAACAATTTTTTAACTATGTGTTTATCTAAAATCGTGTGTATATCGAAAACCATTTAATAACTACATCCATTAACTGTGATTTTAATATCTAATATTATATCTATATTTTTATATTATCATCAATATAAGATCTATTTTGTGAACTAGCTCTTATTAATTAATATTCATTTTTTTGTTTGCTCCAGAATCAGAAATATCAATCTCGTTTGCTAAAAGGTAATCGTGCAAGATATCGAGGATTCCTTTCTTCTATTCTACATAAAAATTGTTGATGTAATTTCTAATTAATTCTTTTTCCCTCTTTTAAACCAATCGATAAACGCTATTTTCATTTACACAAATAACAATTATTCGGAGAAATATTCGGCTGAATTCGAAAAAGATAAATAAAAAAAAAAAAAAGATTTATCGTTTGAAGAACACAGTGGATTATCGGAATATTCTTTTAGCTGCATTCATAAGTTTCTATCTGTTACTTTGATTCTCTACGTTAATTTAATTTCATTTTGTATTGTAAATATTTTAAATGATAAAAAATCTATTGTAGTTTATTAAAAAAAAATATATTAAAGAATAAGAAAGTATTATTTTTAATTCGAGCATAAGATACTGAAATGATAGATTCTATAAATGCAGCTTGGAGGCACGAGGTAATTTAATGCATTAACAAACGAGATGTGATATTTTTGATACTATTAAATTACATAACAATTTTTTAACTATGTGTTTATCTAAAATCGTGTGTATATCGAAAACCATTTAATAACTACATCCATTAACTGTGATTTTAATATCTAATATTATATCTATATTTTTATATTATCATCAATATAAGATCTATTTTGTGAACTAGCTCTTATTAATTAATATTCATTTTTTTGTTTGCTCCAGAATCAGAAATATCAATCTCGTTTGCTAAAAGGTAATCGTGCAAGATATCGAGGATTCCTTTCTTCTATTCTACATAAAAATTGTTGATGTAATTTCTAATTAATTCTTTTTCCCTCTTTTAAACCAATCGATAAACGCTATTTTCGCTTTCTTCATTTTCTTTCGCATTTTTTATTCATTTTCTCTCTTTTTTTTTGTTCTTTTTGTTTTCTCATAAATGACGTATAACATTTAAAATCCATAGACGAAATATTTTTTTAATATTCGGATATATAAGATATGAATCGGCAACAACAACAAATACACGCAACGTTTAAGTATATTAGGCCTGATGATATTGATAATAATTCTATCAATATATATTAAACGCTACAATTTATCGTTGCTCGCATTCCACTTGCATTCAGTGTCTCTTTCTTCGCGATAATGGTGTTCCAATGTTATTAATCTTTTATTCTTTTTTTATTTTTTTTTTTTTTAATAATTACACCAGCAATCGTTAAGAATATCCGACAACAAATTATATTTGATGGAAGATCTTTAACAATAATCAATTATTTTTAACGAAATTTGTACGTTTGCATAAGGTACGATACTTGATATAGGATCACAGCAAATGTACAATATTTCTTATGTTTATTAATTTTTTGTTTTAAACATCGGATCTCATATACCGTGAAGAGAATAGACGGGAACTTTGAAATTTTATGGAATTTAAATGCATCGCAACTTTTTTTAAATATATTTTTAATACTTGATTGATTTGATACTAATCTCGTCATTTTTACATTTACAAACGAATAGAAAGATTCAAAGATTTGTTTCATCCCTTAGATGAACTACATAATAAATTACATGATAAATAAGAAAATTTATAAGTTAATTTTTTATTGTTTTTTTAATTTTTTTATTTTTTTTATTTATTTTTTTTTTTTAATTAATCCATGAACATTGTTTTCAAGTTCTGATTTGTAAATTTTTTTCTTTTGCTTTATTTTTTCTTTTTTTTTTTGATTTTTTTTGTTTTTCCATTTTTGAGTCAATTCTCACGCGTAAACGAGTTTGGAACACCGATATCGTCATTGTCAATTAGCCGACTCGTTATAATGTCTCCTCGGTCTCTCGAGGCAGCTCGTGAAAATTATTTGACAAATATCTCACGGTTTACTAATCATTCAACAGTCGCAACTATTTTAGAGACTCTAAATTAATGTCTTAAATACATACATAGATTAAATTACGAAATTCGGACACATAGCAATTATACACGCAGAAATATTCGGACATATAAACGTCGGATCGTTCAAAAATCAGCTTCATATATGCTCGAGGGACTTTTATTTAAGCTTCAAAGATAAAATTGAAATATATACGAAGAAGGAAAGATTATATTTATATATGAATCAGTTTTAATTTATATTTTTATGAGAAATTATGAATTAATGAAAGTTCAAAGAAATATTATTATTTTTTTTATAAATTTTTTTACCAATTTCGTACCGATTTATTTTTAAAAATGTCGGTAAATATTTTATTTATTAATTTTATTTATTTGGAAATTTATTACACAACTTATTTATTAAGGAAAAAGCAGAGCGTAAAAATGTGAACAAGAGTTGAAAGCTTGTTACGAAATTATTTAAAATCTTTCTTCCTTGTAAATAAATTTGTGTTTAAAACACGCAGAGATACTGACAATTTTATGAATTCTAGATAAATCTGATAAGATAGTAAATTCATCATAAAACAAAATTAAATAAATTCCCAGTATCGGGCGCGTAAGCACGAACCGAAACGCTTCACATTGAGAATTTAATAAGTGCATGTACATATTTCAACGAGCGAGTGTCCTCTTCGATTTCTTATGCTCGCAAAAAAAAATACATGGAGGAATTTTTTCAATATAAAAAGCAATGCGCATATTGGTTAATTGCTAATTTCCATTGATGAAATCATCGTTTAAATATCCGAACGACGTCAACGATATAGTTATAATTACAAGGACATAAACCGTAAAGAAACGTCGCATTAAAACCTTCTCTTTAAGAAGATAATTAGATCTATAATATTTTTCTTCTGAAATGAATTTTCTTCTCTAATTTTCAAGAGAAATTTCTTCTTTAATCATAAAAGAATAGAATCATAAAAATAGAATTTTTTTTTATCTTCTTAATCAATAATTTTAATCAATTATTATTATTTTCAATTTAAAAAATTACCATATCCTTACGAAAATTCAAAATCTCAAATGATGAAAGCCATTTATATATTATTAAAATTCTATTTTTTAAATTCCTCAAATATGCCTTTGATATTGCAAAATATACTAAATTCTTCTTTGATGAATTGTTATTTTTTACAAGATTCCGGATATAAGCAGCTACAAGGCTGAATCGATAATCCAATAAATCCTTCAATGCTCTGTAAAGCATAAAATATGCTGAGAAATAGAAAAGGACACTCATAGGATATAACATTATTCCTCTTTCTCTTTTTTTTTTCAAATAGTTAAATTGCGAAAGAATGCTCGAAATTGAAAATAATGAATTGTTCTCGTTATTTCCTCTCAATTAATTTGTAATCTGAATGAATATATAATATGCTATAGACAAATATCATTAATGAAGAATTATTTTATTAGATGCATCGAAGAATGTGAGATCTGATAGTCAAATGAGGCAAATAAGTGCTTATATCGAATCGTTCATACTATATTTCTGCTACAGTAATTCTTCTATCGTTTTCATGTCTCATTCTCACTTACATTCTCTCTCTTTATCGCATTTATTAACAAGACTTTATCGTTCCATTTTCTCAATTATACGTCAAGACTTTGATTTTGAAGGATACTATTTCTTTTTTCTTTTTGCTTTGTTTTTTAAATATTTTAAATGTGTTCTCGTCACTTCGAATATCATCAGATTGTCATTGGGAATCGATGAAATATATTTATGTTTTATAGAAAAACAAATAATTCTTTTTT